GTCTAGGAGTGAGTGTGCGAGGTGGTTATAAAAGGCTCTCCACCCCCTCAAAGAGGAGGTATGCAATCTTTGCGCTATCTGGTTTTATTTGCCTTTGAAGGATTCTAACTTGAGCTTCGGAGCCTTTACACCGGGTTCCCCCCGGAGCTTCCTCATCTCCTCCGTTTCAGGTTCCCTGCTACCGAGTTCAGAGGCAAGGTCGTTGACAACTAAGACCAGCCGGATTGCGCATCATCAGGCCCCTACCCCTACTATATTATGTAACATAGTACCTATATAACTATTAATATATATTATATCATTATACTATTTTATTATGTAATATAAAATAGTTTTAAATAGGTTTCAAAAAAATAAAATAAATAAATTTTTTAGTATACAAGTAGGAACAATCGAGGCAGGGTAGGGCAAATTCGAGGATCCCTATTCCCCACGGGGACGGGGATGGGGTTAGAATTTATTGCCCCACCAGGGTTCGGGGCAGGGAATTTGAGTTTGGGGTCGGGGACAGGACAGGCAAAACTTGACCACGCTTCACCTTGCTGCCATTAAGGAAAAAGTAGGGAATGAAAGGAAAAAGTATAATTTCCTTACTTTTTTTTTCCTTCAAACCAAACACAACCTTAGAGAACCATCCGATTAAAGGTTTGACTAATACCAGACATTGTCCACTTGTCACAAATTCAATGGACTTGGAAAAATACCTTATGAAGTCCAATTACACCGGTTTGGAACTACTTTTTAATAGCCCATTTATTTCAATCAATAAAAGCAATTTAAAAAGGGATGCCAGTAAAAATTCTCCAAAAAAATGCTATAATGATATATAACTAATGAGATTTAGATTTGGTTCATTTAATCATTATTTCTTGTCACATATTCATAATTAACCTTTTTATTTGTAAATTTTGTTCCTGAGAGGAAAATTTACATTTAGAATGGTGAATGTGAAGGTGTGAGGATACATTTCTTTTTGATTAATAAATTATAATGGAAGGATAAGGTGGAGTCTATCCACATGCATGACTTTTGAACAATGACTATTACAATATCAGATGCCTTAAAGTCTTAATTATGGTGTTTTGTCAAAATACACATTTGTCCCAAGAAATTCATAAGGAATAATTCATGTCCAATGAAAATTCTGGAAAACCAGTGTCTTAAACTCTTAATTATGGTGCTTTGTCAAAGAGCACATTTGTCCCAAGAAATTCAGTGATTAAAGAGGTAATTTATGTCCTGAAAATTCCATAAAACAACTGTCTTAAACTCTTAATTACGGTGCTTTGTCAAAGTACGCATTTGTCCCAAGAAATTCAGTGATTAAAGGGGTAATTTATGTCCAATGAAAATTATAGAAAACCAGACCCCATTCTTACTTTTATTAGTATAGATATAGATGTACTAGGTCCTTTCACCTTTTTCTTACCGCACAAATCAAAACCCTCACCTTTCAACCACTAAAGCTCATTCTTTGATGCAAACTTGTCAATTAATCGCCACATATATAGCTTAGAATGGCAGGGAGAAATAAAAGGCAATCTTTTCTTAGAAATGTAGCCCTTCAATTGATGCTACATATTTGAGAATAATAATATAAAATGCACACCTTCCATGATATTTTCTTCAGATACAACCATGCATACAAGATTCCCTTTTTCCATCACTGCATACAAGATTCTTTGTTCCAATTCCAATGTCCATATCCTATTATATTCTCATGAGACAACCTCAGGTCACAACTTAGTTCAGAGCACTGCCAAGAATGCTTACTATCATTTAAGTACAAGTTGATTATAGCTAAAATCTAAGAACATACATTCAGGATAGGCAAAAGGCATACATAAACCATCCAACAAAAGAGTGTATTGTACAAGGATGGAAGCTACTTCAACAGCTTAGTGGCTATCAGCTCTGTGATAGTACTTGCCGCTTAGATTCAATATCATTCACGTTCTGAATTATATCTTCAATGTTTCTTGATAAATGATGAGTATGCTCCTCAATATCTTTCAAAACTGATTGCAGCTGTTCTTGATAAGCTGCTGAGCGCTTTCTCTCACGCATCAGCTCAGTTGATAATTCCCGGATCTTTTTGTCTTTCTCATCCTGAAATTAGAAAATTAATATATGCTATCCATTACTAATGTGTATTTGTGTCTGTGCACACCAGCATTTTGTTTTCTAATGCAAACACAAGTAGAGAGTTTGTTTTTTAGTTTCTTTTCCTTTTAAATGCAAACATCGGCAGAGATTTAACATGACAAAAGCATGCATGTCAAATTCAAATAATTAGTTTATGATAACCACACCACACATATGGCATTAACCAGAGGGGGTCACCATCAGGCAGGAAATCAATGAGATTTCTAAGGAAGAGACTTGATCTAAAATTATCCTGGTTATATAATCTGAGGCAGTTTTTCCTTCTCATTATCTTTTTTATTTCCATTATTGTCCAATTAGATTGGCAAAGAAAAGGGGATGAAGTTCAAAGACTGGCAATTCATAGTTTTCAAGGTGCCTAGGCAAGGCTAGGCGACCACAGGGCGCCCAGGCGTTGGAATTTTAAAATGCTTGTTTTATTGAGTTTTTACTTTATATATGCTTTTCAGACATGTAATTTAGCCATAAGAAAAAACATTTGATTCAATTCATCCATACAATCATGAATCAGCCATAAAAAATTTGAATGAGAAGAAGAATTGGCCATAAACATTTGATTCAAGTTTCAGATTCAAGACATTTAATTCAGCCATAAAAAAGTCAGCCACATAATCATATATATTAATGACATAAAAAAAAAATTGAATGAGAAGAAGAAGAATTAAAGAAGAGATTAGAGAAGAGATTAAAAACTGAGATGATTCAAGACTTCAAGTGTGAAACTGTGAATGACTGAAGGGAGGAAAAGAGTAGGGCGGAGCCCCTGTTTTTTTCCAAAAAAAAAAGGGACTCATGGGGCGTACTGACAACTGAGAGAGTGAGAGTGACTGACTGAGAACACCACTCAAGGGGTGGGTGGAAGAAGAAGAAGAAGAAGTGGAGAAAGGGAGGACTGAGGAGTATAGGGGCGGAGCCCCTGCTTTTTTGAAAAAAAAAAAAAAAGAAAAGGACTGGCGAGCCCCTGTTTTTTCGACTGAACTGATATCCGAGAAGAGAAAGGAGGAGGAGGAGAAGAAGAAGAAGAAGAAGAAGAAGAAGAAGAAGAAGAAGAAAGGGAGGACTGGCGGAGCCTCTGTTTTTCGAAAAAAAAAAGTAAAAAAAATGCTGAAACTCTGAAATCTGAAGAAGAAGAAGAAGAAGAAGAAGTACCTGCTCGAACTAAGGTGCGAGTGCAACTGCGATGGAACTGGGCTGCTCGAGCTTGCAGAGTTCGCATGTTCGGTTCTCCTCCTCCAGTCGAACCAAAACCTTTATCTTAGTTTAGTTGTATACCCTTGTCTTAGTTTAGTTGTATAGACTATTCTATAGTTGTCTTAATAATAAACTGATACAGTGTAACATATTTATTTTAAAGGAATACAACAACCAATGAAATATCAAGCTAATAAATTAAAAAAAAAAAATTATTTTAGATACATTAGGCGCCCGCCCAGGCTTGCGCATAACATATGGCATTTGGGCGAGGTGACCTTCAAAAACCGCCTAGTCGCCTAGACGCCCGCCTAGGCGTCGCCTTGACAACTATGTGGCAATTAAAAGGAGGACAAGTGAACCATTGTGGCTTCATATATCTCAAATAAAAATTTTTCTTATACAGCAAGATTGATAAATTGAAAACCCAGAGGTGAAGTAGGTCACTGAGTGAAAAGAGCACAAGTTAACCATAACAGTTGGCAAATTGACATTAAATTGTGAACGATATCCATGCTATTATGGAAGCCTTTCTCCCTTCCTCGGAATTGTGAAGGTGGAGTTCAATCCAAGTGTAGGACAAACACCCCCAATCCCAATAACATGGATGCTGGGACTTTCACTACATACATGCTGTAGATGTCCAAGGGCTAGTAGCAAAGAACTAAAAGGTCCTGCAAAAGAATTGCTAGAGTTCACAATGACTAAATAATCCAACAAGAGAGGACCAACATGCAAGGTTTAAAATGTCGGTGTCAGTGGAAATATTGTCCAAATATAATAAACATGTCGGAAATGTCAGTATGGAAATACTGTAAAAATTATAGACATGGTGGAAACACTGTAAAATATGCAAAAACATAGAATGGTATTTTATGAAATGATAAAAGAAACATAGGCACACCCATAGTTGTCAAGGTGACGCCTAGGTGACAAGGCACCCTTGGAGGCTTGCCTTGCCTAATCACCAAGCAGTTTTGTACATTGTATTATAAAATACTTTTATATTATTAATTTTTGAGATTATAATTATAATATAGACATTATTAAACTAAAACATTCATTTTCTATGTTCATATACTATTTTTTATTATTTTCTTATTTGTTAGGGTTTAATCAACACAAACATTGCTAAATGCTATATTTAACCCCCAAAGACTTCAAAACCTGAATCAATAAGGAAGAACTTAAAATTTTGTCTAATCAACACAATATCTTCTTCTTATCCACTTTTTCTTTTCTTCCTTTCCTATAACAAAATAGGGATTCAGACCCCATATTTTTTGAGTTTTCTTTTCTTTCTTCTTTTTCTTATGAATATGTTTTTTACTTAAAGTATTGATATGTAATGGAAGATAGAGTCCAATATGTATCGGTTTTTGGATAAAACTGATACATGACATGGTAGGAAAATAGGGGTTTCCAAAAAGTTCCATATCCACCACGTATTAGGCTTGTATCAGTGTGTATCAGTCAATATTGATGCATATCAATTGATAATTGACTGCTGCAAACTGATACTCAACTGTTACAAACTCGTATTAAACCATTACAAGCCATATTCAACTGTTATAAATTCATACTCAACCATGATGTTTTGGTTAGAGATTGCATGTAGAGAAAGTTGATAGGATGGAAAAGGAGGGTAATAGGAGTTTTTTCTTGGAGTTAGAAGAGAGAGAAAGAAAAACCTTAAATTCACAAGCTCTGATGTTAACAAACAGATTGGAAAAATATCAATTAGCAAGTGTGAATGTAAATGTGGGGTTTAGAAGTTCTATCGTGTTGAAGCAAAAGGGTTGTTGGGGATTTGTGTCTTGATATATCCTAGATTTAGGGGTAATTTTTCTTTAGAGTGGTGAGAGGTGTTTTTGTTCTTTGATAAATTATCTAGTAGGGGGTAGGGGTGTTGTTGGGGTTTGTTTTGCATTCTTCTCGATTATGTCTGGATTGGTGGGGAAAAGTGGTCTTTTAGGGGATGTGGTATTATTTATTTGATTTCTGTCTCAGTCATCACCTGAAATTGTAATCTACCATTTTCTTTTTTAATAATTTTTTATTTACTATAAAAGCCTTAAACATTGTGATAGAAATAAATAAATAAATTTTTATTTATTTTTGCTTTTTTCTTTGAGCTTTGTTTTCCATATATAACATGCTTGTTTTGCATTTGAGAGTTCATAGGCTTGTGTGGGAGACAACGGGTGGAGCTGTTGTTTTTGGTCTACCTATGATACTCCTCCAATAGTTCTCTAACAACAAAAAAGCCCTAACCTTTCTCTTCTACATTGTTTTTTCTTCTCTGATATTGGTATTAGAGGTCAATTGAGTTCCGTCGGAAGTGCAACTCAAAGAGCATGCTCTTTGAATTTTGGAGTCTGGATGCTTCAATCCAAGCATTCAGCATCCAAAAGGGGGCAAGATTAGATTCAAGGACAACAGTGATCCAATGTGTCTCAATCTTCTAAATTGATAAGTTCCTTGTTTATTTTGATTACTTGTATACTTTAGTGCTGCTACTTTCTAATTCTTCCATTGTTCCTGCTCAATTACTTTTGCTACTTTCATCTATTATTATTGCTTTGATTTATTGGATTCGGAATTGTCTTATTATAATAGCTTTATTGTTCAAACCGATATCTCCAACATATACAATTAAGTTTCATTGTGATAGGATTGTTGAACAGCTTAAAGCTTGGCTAGTAGCTAAGGTTTTCCTTAGACCCATGGGATTGATTTTGATGAGACTTTTTCACCTATGGCTAAGATCTCTTCTATTTGGGTCATAACTGCATTGGCTACGGCATTTCATTGGCTTTTGTTTCAGTTAGATGTAAAGAATGCCTTCTTATATGATGATCTTTTTAAGGAGGTTAATATGGAACAATCACCTGGATTTGTTGCTCAGGGTGAGTATTCAGATTATGTGTAGATTGAAGAAGGCCATATATGGACTGGAACAATCCCCACATGCCTGCTTTGGTGAATTTAGTGATATGGTGATTCCAATCAGGTTATTCAATTTTTGGTTGGCATTCAGAAGCTGCCTTATGGTACAAATTGATGATATTGTGAATATGGGTAGTGATTGTAAAGGCATAAATGAGCTGAAGATATTTTTCCATCAATGTTTTCATACTGAGGATCTGGTGAAGTTGTGGTATTTTTTAGGTATTGAAAATCGCAAGATCCAAGATAGAGATATGCCTTTGACAAAGGAAGTATACACTCAGCCTACTTGAAGAGATTGGTATGTTAGGCTGTAAACCAACTGTTACTCCCATGGATTCAAAACACTAAACTTGTATTTGATCAGGGGGAGTTGGTTGATGACCTGGGATAATATAGTCCAGTTGGTAAGTTGAATTACTTAACTATTACACGTCCAAATGTCTTATACACAGCAGATCTGTTCACAAGGCTGTAAACCAACTGATACTCCCGTGGATTCAAAACACTAAACTTGCAGATCTGTTCACGAGGTGCTGTATAACCCATTGGTTGATTTCTTTGTATCCAAATTGGGTCTACGCAACATATACACAGCAGCTTGATGTAAAACATAGAGAGTTACTGCTATAATATTTAATGGGAGGGTAGGTCAGTCATTATATCCTAATAACTTAAGTAGGGGTAAGATGGGGAGTTCAATTTTACTACTAAAAGGGGTCACTATTGTAATGTGTGATTTCTTCAAGTTGAGACCTATATGAAGAAGTCTGGCCAATTGCAAGACTTATTTTCTCCAATCAGCAGAATGGGCCTTGTTCTATACTTAGAGATCTGATAAAAAAATCCCACCTTCAATTATTGAGAAGTAAAGTAACCTCAGAATTTAGTGCACCAAGAAATGGAGCATATGATAATTCATCTGGACCATTGCTACTTTACCCCTTTTGTTTTATTTTATTTTTTTGATGAGTAACAACATATTTATTAAACAACTTAGAAATATATATATATATATATATATATATATATATATATATATATATATGATACGGATGGCTACACCCCAGATGTTGGGATGGCCAAAACAGAACCTGGATATATCAAAAATTTCCTTTCCCTCCCCAAAATAAGTTCCCTCTTTTTACCCCTTCTTTTGCCAATGCATCTTTTCCAGCCAATCATCATTACTGCCAAACAAGCAGCTCCATTGTTACTGTTTCACACATCCTTGAAGATTGCCAAACAAACAGCTTCTATTTAAGTAAGGCAGATCATGGATCAGATTTTAACTGCAAATGAGAGTGTTCACGAAAATTTGAGAGCAAGAGACTAGGAACTCCACGGGATCTGAACTAATGGCAGTACTTCAGGGGTAAAAACTGGGTAAAACACTCAGAAACAGGAATCTCATTGTGAAAGGTGCTTCAAAAGGAAAATGATAGTCAGTCAAGGAGCAAAGAAATATTGAAATGGAATTGAACAGTAGAGTTACATTGATAAGGAGATCGACCAAATGGAATGGCTGATATGTTAGAAAGACTTGGAAACAGCATGAATCAATTTCTTGGGGGACTACAGGGCATGAATGAGAAAATAAAGTAAGGTAACAAAATTTAAATAGAGGGAAGAAGAAGGTTGGGCAAAGTTGTAGGGAGTGCTAAGCATTAATTGTAGCTATGTTCTGCTTATGGTTAATAAAGAATTCACTGTTACCGATCAAGAGAGAGAGAGCAGGAGAGGAAAGTTTTGTGTGTAAGAAGGCTTATGATTATGTGGAGTAGTCCTTGATCTAGGTCCTGAAGGAAATAGGTGTTAGTGAACGAAAGGAGAATATGGATCATGGACTGTCTCAAATCGATTCATTACTCAACAATGGTAAATGGTTCGGCAAGAGATTTCTTCCCAGCCAGGTGTGGCCTCCAGCAAGGGGACCCAATGTCACCACTCCCATTCACCTTATCATTGATGTTTTTAGTAAACTAATCTCTGGGACAAATAGGATGGGCATAACTAGAGGTTCTGGAGTTGGGTAATGAGAAGATTCCTTCAACTCACCTCATGTTTGTTGATGACATCATTACTTTTGACCAAAATAGGGATGAAGATCTAGTCTACTTGTTGGCCTTAATAAGAAGCTTTAAGAAAGTGTGAAATTTGAAAATCAATCTTCTTGGCCAATCACATATCTTGGTCTACCTCTAGGAGGTAACCCAAGAACAACCCCTTTTGGAGCCCTCCCTTGGAAAAATACACAAAAACATTGGCATCATGGGAAAAACATTATATCTCACCAGGGATTATACTTATTAGGTTGGCTTCAAATCTACCAGTTCACATTTTCTCCATTTTTAAAGCCCCTGTGAAAGTTAATAAGACATTGGAGAAAACCATGAGGAACTTTCTCTAACAACATCCTGGTTAGAAAAAAAAAAGATCATTTAATAAACTGGGGTATTGTAAGCACAAGAAAGGTAGATGGTGGGCTCAAGATGAGAAAGGTTAGACTTGTAAAATAATACTTTGCTTGGAAAATTGCTCTAGATGTTTCCTAAGGAATAAGATAAATTGTGGCACTCCAAAATTATGAGCATACATGGATTGCATCCTAATGGTCCAAATACAAATCAAGCCCCTAGATACACCATCACTTCTCCATGGGAATCAATTTTGTCAATCCTTAACTAGTTTCTTGGTCAGACCAGGTTAGATGTGTGGAAAGGGGAGAAAATGAAGTTTTGGGAGGACATAGGCTGTGTACCATTGCCCTTGAAGATAAGTACACTAGACTCTATTCTCTATCTAATTAAAAAATGAAAAAAAAAAACAATTGATTCCATAGCCATCTCAAAAGAAAATATTTTCCTCAGAAGCAAGAGTTGGCTCACAATCCCTTAATCATCTTCTGAACCCAAAATCCCAAGAAATCCCTGCTTAGATAAGGAAGAACAAAAGGAAATAAACTTGTTTTTATACAAGGAAAGAGGGTAAAGTGTTGGATGACAGCTACATTAAAGGCTAAAAGGTTACACTAATTTCTTCCATTACCATGACAAGGGGAAGTTAAAGGATTTTAGGATAAAAAGTCATGTGGAGAGAATCTAAGTCAAGCTTTTAAGCTTAAAGGAGTTGTAAACTGTACCATCTATTTGTTCAGAGGAATAGTTTTTCTTCTTCAATAAAAACCACTACTCGCTTGAGCTTTCACACATTAGTTGAAACTTAGCATTTATGTGCTGACATGAACAATATGTACCAATTCAGCAATTCTACAGTATGCAAGTTAAGAAAAAGAAGAAAGAAAATATAACAATTTTGAGGAGCACAATTTAAGGCAAAAAGGGAAAGGTAAGACTCATTCTACATATAGGTCAGCTATATATATGTTGTCCACTTTCCTTGCATTAAGATCCCTTCTGAATGCAGGGATTTCTTTCTTTCTTCTCATTATGAATAAAGCCTTTTTTTATAAGTCTCATTATGAATAAAGTCTCAACTTAGAAAGTAGAGAAAATTATCAAGACTTCCAAACACTAAAATTCAATGACAGAGAATAGAACATCAGAAATGAATTCTTGTATTTTTGCAGTGGATGGGACTGGTCATCTTTAGATTCTACAAAGTGAAGAAAACTTACTGGTGTTTGAGAAAGAAGCAAACTTCGACGACTATTGCCAGAGGAAGAAATCACCAATGGATGATTGTGCTCCTTGACGAATCTGGAAACAACCCACTTCCCTGTCTTCTCTCTCTTTACCATAATCATTGCCTTACAGCCTTCCCTGGTGATGGCTCGAGGCTTCCTACTTTCACTCCGTCTGGGTCTGTTTCGGCGAAACCCCTCCTTATTACATACAAGTCGGCGGCAAATAACCTTGCCATCACGCAGTGAACGGCGAAATGCATCAACACGCATAACAAAGCCCAAGTGTGTAGCATATGCATCATAGAATACCTTAGCAGCTTCTTCAGACTCAAACTCCATACCTACATAAGGTTCTATGATTTCATCTTCACATACAGCTAATTCTTTTCCATTGGAACTCTCCATGATTTCTGTACCCTCAACCACACCATGTTTTCCATCCACTGCCACACAATATTTTGTCATTCTATGCATTAAAACAACTGATAAGCTTACAGAAGAAAAAAGGAGAATCATTCATATGCCCATAGACTAGTACAAGCATTGTACCACCTAATTTGTTCAAGACAACTGGTCAAAAATCTATTAAAGAAAGCATAGAAACGGTAGAGCCGCCATTTTGGAGATACAAAGAAAGCAAAGAGACAATAGAGCTGCCATTTAGGAGATATCTATATTACTATTAAAAGTGGGAATTAGGTATAGATTCTGGAATTTTTATTAACTAAAATACCCTTATTGTTGAATATGATCCTTCATTATACTAGTTATATTAAATTCATTCAATTTTCTCTTATTAAGTCTTATATTTAAGTTATTTACTCACTTCTGCTCTCTTTTTTTTTTTTTTGTTAAACCCTTCTCTCATTAAATCATATATTTATTGCATATTAAATAAATGAGCTTTGTCAACTTTTGAATTTGGTCCTTCTCTAACTGTGATGGCAGAAAATGTAATTTAAGCTATTACTTTTCACTTCATTCAATTCCCTCTTATTAAGATGTTAATTCCCATTCTCCCTCCTTAGATTCTTTATTTGAAGTATTTTTGTTTCTCACCAATAAATTCTACTAATTAAATTTATACCCAATAATTTTAACAATAAAAAACCTATGTTTTAAAATCCAACATGAAAACTAAGCTGTCCTTTTGTCGGTGAGGCAGATACATAGTTCAACTATCTAAGTAAAATGGGTCAACTAATGGTCTCATAGTTAAATAATAAAAGTTTAAAAATAAATAAAAATATAAAAATTACAAGAAAATTTAGGCATATCTCTAAAATTATATATTTATCATTTTAAATAAAAATAAGTATGATAAATAAGAAATATTTTTATTAATGATGGAAATGAAATACAAAAACTAAAACTGACCCAGAAACACAAACCATTTTCCTATTCAAGCATTGGGTCCATGGTTCAGCGTTTTAGGTCAAAATGATCAACCCACATTGTTGTAATTAAATAACAAAAATTTTTAAAAATATAGAGACAAATTCATTAAAAACACAAAAAAAATGTTGAAACATTTGGGTACATCTCTAATATTACGTATTTCATCATATTAAACAAAAATAAGTGTAATAAATAATAGTTATTTTAATGATGGAAATAGAATATAAATTTAAACTAACTCAAAAGAAAAACTATTTTTCCATCTAATTGGTGGTTAGTGACCCATACAGGTGCAAATTAGGTGGGCTCAATCTGAGCCTGGACCAACTCAGCTTGCAATTTTAGACAAACTTGCTTGGATATTTTGTCCTCAGGTTGGGCCTAGCCCAAAAGTTTTAATTTTTGAGGTGTGCCTTGGCTTAGCCTTGGGTAGCTTAAGGTTGGCTTGATGATACATACATACATACATGTATAACCAATTCAAGCCTAAGTCCAATCCAATTGCATCAAATTTTAATGTGAGTTGGGCCCAAATTGGATAGATCAACCTTGACCTTGGGTGCAAGCTTTAGGCCCAATGCATAGGATTGGGCCTAGATTGAGCGTGAACTTGGCCCAACTTGCACCCTAATGATTCAATCATTTAGGTAAAATGGGTTAACCAATGATGTCATAATTAAATAATAAAATATAAAATAAATAGAACTACAAAAAAAATAGAAAATTTGACATATCTCAAATACTATAGATTTGTCATATTAAACAAAGTTCCATACACGGGAATAGTTTTTACAATTAATTATGGAAATGACATAGAAAATCTAAAATTTCCCAAAATTGGGATTGCTTTACCTTTCAAGTCAAATAGATCAATATAATAAAAACTCAAATAAAATAGAAAGAAATAAAAGTTATAAAAATACAAAATTTTATCGAAAAAATTTGTGCACATCTCTAATATTATATGTTTATCATATTAAACAAAAATAAATTTGATAAATAATTAGCATTTTTATTAACAGTGGAAACAAATTACAAAATTTAAATCCACTATCACACCATACTTTAATTACTTTATCTTTTTTAGTGGGTTTCAATAAACATGTTGGAATTATTATTGTTATTTGAAATTGCCACGTGCAAATGCATGTGCACATTTACTAGTAACAGGAAAATATCCAGATTGGTTGGATACCTTAAACCATCAAAATGAATAAATTATTTTCTAAATAATTGAATCCTTCTTTTTTTGACCATTCAAAAATGTTTATATTTAATAGTTGGTTTAATTATCCAATAGTATTGAATCTTTGGTGTTTGGAATCCTAAAAATAGAGCTTATAAATTGAGCATTTTGGATCAGCAAAGTTATTCATAGAAAGTCTATGACAGTACAAAGGGTCTACCTCATGCGTAACTAAAGGGGGTGAGGGGTGGGCGGAAAGGAAGTTCTCTTCTAGGCATTTCACCAAACGGATTGCATGCACCTCAAGGAAACCTATACAGCTAACCCATAAGAGAGATGAATTACAGAGCTGATTAACTACTAAACTCGCGTGTGGTAATTCCCTTTCCTTTACCATAATAATGGCCATTCCAATCAGGTAGTTTTTGGAATACCCTGGGTGGGACCCACACTTCCACATGGCCCACGCATCAAACATGAACTCTCTTTTTCTGTCCTCCAATTTTTTAGGAGGATGTAATCGCTACATATGCCATTTAGAAACAGTTTTTTGCCTCGTTTATTAAGACATTAAGAGGTTCTGAGCTCCAAAACGAGACATTTTTCAAAAAAAAAAAAAACGAAACATTTACCTTGAGAAACTCATGATTCATAAGAGAAACGAGAGTGCAAAATATGCAGTTCCTTCGTCAAAGAAATTCATGGCGAAAATAGAGAAACCAAAAAAAAAAGAAATGTAAAGCTTTTGGTCAAAATTCTTTACCCTTTTGAATTGCTAACTTCACTCTTGGTTCTTTTGATTGAACACTGAATCGAGTGCAGAATAAATACAAATTGCGTTTGAATTAACCTACGAAGTTGTAGGGAGAGTGTTAGACTTACTTGATTGAGGGATTGAAGTCAAAAAATAATTTCCACGGGTTCTTCCTCCGAGAGAGAACGAGAGAGATTAGCTCCTCAATTTTAGTCTTTGGCAAGCTTAAAGAAATCATGTCTCCGGTAAATTACAAAGACCCCCTTTTTACTATGTGCCAGTGACAATTACCCCACTTTCATTTGCAAAAACCCCTCACTTAATTACTAAAATACGCACTTCAACTTTCTTTATTTTCTTTTCATCGTCCTTTTTCTACAATTGACTCAAAATTGCCTTCGTTTTCTACAAACAAAATCAGCTAAAATAATAATAATGTAGAAAAACAAATTTCTTTAAATTCTTGTTTCACATGAATGCCTCTTTTCATCTTAAAATATAAAAAGTATCCACACGTTTCTCTAATAAATTTAAGTAAAAGCAAATGAAACCTTTACCAATTAATGTGAATATTGAATCCAACTAGAAATTTTGCAAGAGTCAATTAGAATAACCAAGATGGTATCAATCTTATATTTAGAAAACTAATTCAATCATAATTCGATCAAATAAATAAAAAAATGTAGTTTTAGGATTTAAATAATTTTAAATAACTAAATAAGAATCTTTTTTGAAGTTAACTAGTTTGAACTCCAACGAAAGGTGTATTGTCACAAAGTGAAAGTTAAGGGGGTCTTTGTAGCAAATGAAGTTTAGGTTGTATTTAATTGCAGTGCAATTTTATTTGCATTAATACAAATGCATGAGAGTGCAAAATGAAAGAAATGCAAATTTTTGTTAAAGTTTTTTTTTTTTTTTTTTCTTGTGGATGCTTAAATTTAGCTAAGACTGAAATTGATATGTGCTAGATTGCTATTTTTTTTCCTTTTTGGTACTTTTGCTGGATTTACAATGTAGTGACTATCTGAGCCTTTATATTTGCTAATTTGATGAATATGGTTTGGATTATAATATGGAAGTAGTCAAATAGCTTATATTTTTACTTTTTTCCTTTGTTGCTTATGCTCGTGGAAGCATTGGATAGTTTATATTTTGATTAATAAGGGAAACAATGAATATGTATTAATTTTGACATTTCTCGTTTATTTTTCAAACAGTTTCCAAGGAGATTTATCAATTAGGTTTGTAGGCTTTCGTTTGAGCTTGAAGGAAATGCTGCATTGCTGCTAGGGAAGATGAAATGACCAAGCAATCTTAATAGTAGATGGAAATTGTTGGCACAATTATGGATAGAATGTGATGAACGGAAATCCCAATCCCACAGGTAGGGGGGCAACTTGGGCGGCCCAACCAAAGTCCGACTCAGTCCAGCCTGAAATTTTATAATGGTTGGGTTTGGATTTTCAGTCCTTGGACTAGGCTTGGGCCCAAGAAGTCAGGCCAAGCCCAGGCCTAACCCTTAGATAGTTCGAACCTGGTCCAACTATCTACAATCATACATACATACATATGTATGTATAATTTTAGAGTGGCTTCATTAACCAATCTGAACCCAACCCGAGTACATCAAATTATAATTGGGATGGGCTTGGGTTGGATGAACTTTGTTCTAAAATTAACCACAGCATTTCTCTTAAACTGATCATAACTTTTCAAAGCATCCAAGAAACCTCATGGTAATAACTTGATGTCAAAGAGAATAACGAGTGTTATTAGATTATCATTTTACCCTTTGTTAATGTTTATAATTTTACCATTTCTAGCCGTCCATCTGATTTGGTTATGAGCCCACAACAACCGAATGAGATAATCAACAAATTAATAACATATCCAATCTGAATTTAGTTCTCTTTACATATGCAATACTCAGAATTGCTGTGTGGACCACAAAAGGGATGATCGCTTGAGGGAGAGCGGCATGTACAATTGCGAAGTAGAAGAGCTGGCCTCGTAAGCCAACAGTAATGGAAGTTGCGGCCATTACTATTGGGCCATCAGAAATCGCACGATTATGTTGAATGCGGCAACCTGTGTAGGGAGTTTTTTCTTCCAACTTGTAAAAAAAAAATAGGGAAAATTCTCGATCAGTAGTATATTATATTTTAGCTAAGTGATAATTTGGTTTTGTAATTTTAAAATATGATATTTCAGTATTCGAACTTTCAATTTATAACAATCCGTACTTGGCGTTAATTCACTTTCAGTCACACCCATCACGTGAGATCAGATGCATTTTAAATAATTTCATAATTACAAAACTAACCTTTATCATAATATTCAAACCATTATACCTTTTTCCAGTTTTCTTTCTTTTTACCCTATTCCCGTTTCTCTTCAATTTAGGTTGAAGGAACGATAGAGGTAACGTTAACCGACAGTTCTTCATTCTTCAGATTTAAAATAGGCCTAAAAGAGAGATTCCCTTGCCTTCTCTCTCTCACTTTTGTTGCATCTACAAGGGCAGGAGTCTGTTGTACTTGAAAAAACACAAAAATGAACAGAATATAATGACCCCACATATTCCTGTGATTATAAGAACCCATTTGAATGCTTGTGGTTCGTTAAACAATGATATTGAGAAGTTCATCCCAAAGACCCCAGCCACCACTCCAAAGATTGCAACGACCAGTGTTGGAGTACTAAGCAGGTCAATCTTTCGGTAAGTTCTTCTTAAGTTAAGAATTTAACTATAATCCTTCGTTGTTGGGACAGGGCTTAATTGATCACTTTCAGGTCAATCTTTCGGTAAATATCTAAACCCCAACTGTATGAGAGGTGGTACAACAGTGGGTGGGGGTCAAGCATCAAATATAGGCCCATCAAAACGCAAACAACAAAAGAGAGAGAAGCAAGCAGCAGAAAGCCAGAACCAAAAACCATGTCTTCCGGATTCTCCATCGGTGAGTGAGTCCCAACCGAAGAAGGTTGAGCCAAACCAGGTTCAAACCTCTTATGTCTCTCTGTTTGTGGGGCTCTGTTCTTCTTTGCTATCTATATTGATGGAGTCAATCAAACCAGACACCTTGTCAACACTCCGATGGAGGAACTAGATAGCTTATTCCCTGCTCCACACAAAGCTCGATCTCCCCCTAGTGTTGAGTTCAATCTTTCCCAACGACAACAAGTCACCGTCGTTGCCCAATGATTTCAAACTTGTCTCTTTACAATCAGACTTATACTTCCTTAGGGACCTGATGTAGCGCGATTTGACTACTCCCAGTTGGAGGGTGACCTGACTTCCAATCGAGCAGCGAGCTGGATCAATCTGCAAGACAATGGATCAGAGAACCCGGGGTGGCTAACCCGACGAGGTCACTCCGATGCTTAAGTTAGCATTTTGCGAGCTGAATGTTTTGAGAGTTTGAGAACTAGAGAGTAGAGTGATCACGCGTACCTGGGCCCTGGAGGGGTCGTTGCTCTTATATAGTTGAGCTCTCGCGAGTTTCACGGATCGGTTTCGGGATCTTCGTCCTGAGGGGATCCATTTCCGCTTTAATCGGGGAGTAACATATCAGTCAATAAAGTCTTTCGTTTCCGCCCGATCCGGGCGGGGAGAAGACAAGGCCTTCCGTTACGCGGCGTGATCCCGTGAGGTTCGGAGTCTGTTGGCGAAACTTCCAGAGTCGTTACATGGCGGTTCGGGTTGTTATCCCCGAGCTGGAACTTTGGTTCTTTAGTCCCGAGTTGGATTGAATGCCGAGGTGCCCTGACGCTGAGGTGACCTTGTGTCGAGGTGACTCTATGCCGAGGTGACCGAACACCCGAGCTCAAATGTTGCGAACTAGGCTTGCCAGGCTGAGCTGTCATCCCTTAGTCAGGTCGTGTCCACGTGTCCCCTTCTCGCTAGGTCACGCCAAATCACCCTTCATCAATTGCCCCCCACTCCTCGTGCCAGGGGTCCCAACCCGGTGTGAGGAGTTCATGGAGGATCTAAGTGGATTTGGCGTGGGGTCTGGACAATCTGAAGAGCGAACCGTTGGTCGGGCCTGTTCAACCGTCTGATTCAACCACGAAATGACCCAGATCGCGTCTCGGGTAAGCACAGACATCACGCTGTTTATAGACTCCACGGACATCAAAGAGTGCGCTCAACCGATTTCGTCCTCGGGTGTCATGCAATTGGTTTTCATGAGAGCCATTGGATCAAGCAGGTCTTAGCCGTTGATCGCCACGTGGTGAACTATAAATAGGGGGCCGAGGGGCCCCTCTTCTTCGCCAAAAATCTTGTGATTGAGCTCTCCCGAGGTAGCGTTGGAGTCCTTCAGCTCGCCACTTCTTCTCTTGTGCTCCGAGGTCGCTTTCGTCTTTTTGGTGAGTTCGTCTTCTCTTCGTTAGTTTGTTCTCCTTTCCTGTTCCAATATGTCTAGTGCTAGCATAGATAGGCTTCTTAGTGACTCTAGTGAGCCTGAGGGTGCCGAGGTGCAGTCCTTGGCTCTTGCTTGCGAGGTCAGCTCCTCGCCAGGCAGTTCCCCCTCGCCCCTTAGGAGAAATTCTTTTACCCAAAGTCGGGCCATCTCGGCCTGAGGAGCCTGTAGCTTGGGAGGAGGGACCGACCTCTAGAGAGGGGGTCCCGTCTTCTTCTCGGGGTCAGGATCCAGATGACTTTGGTCCTTCCACTATGACATCGAACAGGTTACTGTCATTGGTAGCCCATTATCATCTTCCCGATAACCTTGTTTTTAGTATTCCTTTGGGTCGGTACCCTTGGGTTCATGGTCACCATGAGCTCGCGGTTTTCGAAGAGCAGCTTGTAGTTGGGTTGCACTTCCCGCTCCACCCATTCATTGTAAAAATTATTAAGCTCTTTGATATCACCATTGGCCAATTACACCCGAACTCCATCCAAACTATAGTAGGTACAATCTCCCTATTCCACGAGTATAACCGACCTCTATCCTTAGATATTTTTAGCTCGATCTGTTCGATCAAAAAGAACTCCGCTTGCCTGCACGGGGATATCTGACAGAGTTACTACATCTCTCCCCACCCTGGGTTCAAAATCCTGTTCGGAAGCCCGAACAAAATATCAGCCTGGAAGAGGAGATACTTTTTTGTCCAAAACCCCGAGGGGTGGCCCTTCCCGACTCACTGGCGGGTGGCCATTAAAGACGCCGGGGTGAGGCTAGATGCGGAGACCAGGGCGATCGTTAACTCCTGGAGGGACC